CAAAGGAGCTACAGCTGTTGTCCTCCAAGAAGAAAAGGGCCATCCCTGGAGCAGCCCGGAGATGAGTGGAGATGATGGAAAGAGCATGGGAGATGGGGCTGGCTCGGTCCAAGGGGTGGGGCTGTGCTCTTCTAGGTTTCAGAGGCCACATCTTTCCACCTTCCCCAGCTCGGTCCCAGAGTGTGAGGAAGTGTTAAGGTGTGTACCGGGGGAGTCAGGCCACTGCCCCAGCTGAGGGGCTAGGACTGCCATTGCCGAGGAGGAGAAGATTGGGGTCTGCTGGAGCCAAGGGGGTGGGTTGCAACTCAGCTGGACTGTAACAGTGGGACCACCCAAACGCAGAGGGGACAGAGTCACTCCCCAGTGGACATAGAAGGTAGAGCTGAAACCAAGAGTGGAAAGGCTTCTACACAGAATCCAGAGAACATGGCCACCACCCAGAGTCTGGAGGGGGAGGGGCTGTTGCCAGGATGGAATCCTGATTCTTTCCAAGCCTTGATAGCCAATGTGGTTTGTTGTGTTGGGTTCAGACTTGCTCGGTGCCTCTTATCTCTTCTGTCTGCCCAGTTCTCCTATTTGTATCGGAAATCTGCCATTGCACTTTGGAAGGAGATGACTTGTAATCTAGATTTCACAGGTTCACAGATGGAGAGGAATTCTGCCCCAGGACAGAATACACCCAAAGTCTCTCTTATATTTAATGTAGATAATTCAGAAGGTGAGGTTTTGGATTTGGAGTTCATTTGAGACTTTTGCGATGATGTGATCGGGTGAATGTGTTTTGCATGTGGGAAGGACATGAATTTTGGGGGGCTAAAGAGTAGAATGTTATGGATTAAATTGTGTCCCCCCAAAATACATGTTGTAAATCCTGACCTTTATGCCTGTGGTTATGATCCCATTTGGGAATGGGTTGTCTTTGTTATGTCAGTGAGCCAGGATCAGTGTAGGGGACGTGTCTCCAGTCCATCTCTTTTGAGATATAAAGGAGATGAAACAAGCCTGTGAGGAATCAGAGATGGGGCAGACACATGACAAGACACGTGGATATCGCCCAGAAACAGAAGCTCAGAAGAGACAAGGATGTTCCTCCAGAGCCGACACAGAGAGAAAACCTTCCTCTGGAGCCAGTACCCCGAGTGTGGACCCCTACCCTCTGAAACTGTGAAAAAATAAGCTTGTTTGTTAAAGCCACCCACCTGTGGTCTTCTGTTACAGCAGCATGAGGTGACTGAGATGAGCCCTTCAGGGTGGAGCTGCTGATGGTTTTCATCTCATGTGAAATGACTGACCCTTGTGCCTGGGGTCCCTCACTGGTCACGCTGCTGCTTCTGCCCATGAGGTCACGGGGTCGGTCAGAAGGTGAAGGCGTTGCGATGCCCAGCTGACCTGTTTGTTCTACATCGTGCGGCTGCCTTAGAGGTGGTGGTGGCGGTTGCTGTGGGCCACTAAGTCGATTCCAGCTCACAGTGACCGCATGGGATAGAGTGGAACTGCCCCATAGGGTTTCCGCAACTTTAGTCTTTATGGGAGCAGACCACCAGGTCTGTTCTCCTGAGGAGCGGCTCATGGGTTCACACTGCTGACCTTTCGGTTAGTCGCCAAGCTCTTGAACCATTGTGTGGCATCAGGGCTTCTCCAGAGGGTAGGAGCCACAAATACTGATCCATGGCCTTACTCCTAGAGGTGGGGTCAGTAGTCAGGGTCAGGCCCTGGAAATTGGAGTTTTCAAGGTACCTTGGGGTCCATGCCATTCACAGCTCTTGGCAAGGACACTGAGTGGTGGGGGATTTTAAACTTGCTTCCTGGAGTTGAGCTCTACACTCAGCCTGGGGTTCCATATGTGAAACCCATGGCCAGGCCAGCCTCGGGGTCGCCAGTGGAGCCCGGACTGAGGGGCATCCCTGCCTCCATAGAGGCAGGTCGGAGTACACCCTGGTCTGGAACCTTCCCTCAGCATGTGTTATGGATGTTTTGTGTTGAGACATTTCACATCTGTTTTCTTGTTTTCCCCTTTAGAACAATCTGAAGAAATTCATGGACCACATTCAGCATTGCTCGGTGGAGAAAATTGTCAAGATGCTGGATCGAGGCCTGGACCCCAACTTCCACGACCTGGAGACTGGAGGTGGGTGTTCGTGAGAGAAGACGTCAGGGAGGGCAATCCTGTCACTCATTACATACCAGTAGGCTCATGTTTACACGCATCAGGACCTCAGTGGCTTCCTTGTCTGTGAGCCCTGGACAGGAAGGGCCTGGGCCTGTTTTGTTCACCACAGTCTCCTCAAAGCAGCATGGCGCTTGGCATATAGTGGGGGCACTGGGTGCATAGTAGGGGTGCCTGGCACATAGTGGGGGCACTAGGCACATAGTAGGGGCACCATGCACATAGTAGGGGCACCTGGCACATAGTGGGGATGCCTGGCACATAGTGGGGGCGCAGGACATGGTTGTTGGCTAAATGAACTACTGAGTGGACGTATGTGTCTGTCTCCTGGTGCAGTTGTCACAGAAATACCCCTCGTGGGTGTGTGAAAGAAGTTTATCCCGTCACAGCTGAGGCGGCTGGAAGTCCGAGTTCAGGGTGCCGGCTCTGGGGGAAGGCTTTCTCTCTCTGTCGGCTCTGGGGAGGGTCCTTATCTCTTCAGCTTTCACTCCTTGGCTCCTTGGTGACCTTCCTGTGACGCCTGCCTTCCCTCTTGTGAGCTTGCTTGGTCTGCTTTTATAGCTCAGAAGAGGTTGGTGTAAGACACACCCCACACTGATCACTGATCCTGCCTCCCTAACAAACCAGGGAACCAGAGTTTGTGCTGGAGGCCCTGCACACGGGGGAGGGCAGCTCGGTCACTCACCCCTGGCTCGTCCATGCTCTGGGGCCATACAGCTGCTGCGTGGTCTGCCCCCTGCCGTAGAGGCTCCAGGCTGAGACGGCGGCTTCTTCTTAATGGCACATGCTTCTTTAAAAAGAATAATTTTAGGAGGCGGGGCAAGAGGGCGGACTAGGCAGAAGGATTGCACAGACCCTCTTCAACAAAGTAAAGGGAAACCAATAAATACAGACACAGAAGATAATCTTGGACCCCTGAGCCTTGAAGGAAAGGATGCAGATTTGGACTAAACCCCAACTAGCAGAAGAATTTGCGTGAAA